AGAAAATTATTTATAAAAATAATTTTCCTAGAGAAAGATATGCTTATTTTTACTTACAGAAGTCCCGTCTATTTTTCTGCTCATTTTGTGGAGCTGTGTTGCGCCGTTTTGAGATGTGTTCACAGAGTTTTAAGCCGTTTGATGTTACATGTATAGTCATGAATATGTTGTGTTACATATTTAAGAATCCCAAGGGGATTATGATGAGTTTTGATTTGATCATATTTGAATTAGATATCATTCATACACATGTTGGATGTCGTTGATGAGCACAGCTCAGTACTATATGAGATAGTGCGTCGACATACCAGATATATACAGTTTATATATATGAGGTGGATATCGTTGATGAGCTCAGTTCAGTACTACACGAGGTTGCGTCGATATTCCACATGTACATGCCATTGAGTCGGATTTTAGGAGGCTTGATCTAGCCGTCCGTCCCGCACTAGGGTGCGGTGAGGCTCGTGAGCCGTATTTCTAGGATACCTATTTGGTAGTCTGTCCCACACTCATATTATGCACTGAGATCACAATGAGACTAATGAGCCGTGTACACAGTTTAGGATACCTACAGGGTAATCTGTTGCACTGAGACAATTACTTGATAGCCTAAATGTGGCAGATATCAGTTATGAATATGACCTATCACTGAACTATATGACCGAGATACGTTGCATTTAAAAGTATACAAAATTATGTATTGGTATTTTATTCTATCTCCCCAGTGATAGTGGAAGATATGATAAATACGATGTGTTGATGTCTTAATTCTTTTACTGCTTTATTTACTTCTTAGTTAGGATCAATGATTAGAGATTCACAACTTGAGACATATGATATATATATGAGGGTTTTCTTGTTTGGATTATTTCGTTCAACATACTACGTCTCGTGTTGTAGGTTTCTAAATATTAATCTCACTTAGATACGGGGAAATTAAATCTAGGTAGACTATGTTTAATAGATAGAGCCTTCACTCTATCTAGCAGTCCTTCTCCTAAGGATGGATGGAGGTAATCTTGCTGTAGTGCTCTGATGCTCTTGTTGTTGTTCTTTTTTTTTAATTACTTTTCAGGTGGTTCAGAGTTTCGGAGAGCCGTAGGGTGACGGAGTTCTGACATAGTCGCCGTCGCGTATTTTTACTTGTAGAGACTCCACTGTAGTTTTGAGTTTTATCTAGACATTAGAGTTTCATTTTTATATTGTAAAGGCAATGTGCCTTAGTATGATTTTTAGTTGATTTATATTGAGACATTTTTATTATTCAGATATCAGATGTATTATAGTTAAGACATGATTCTTTTTTATTTATGAGATATCTCTTCTATATCATGTCTATTATATTTATTCTCTTTTTTTTTGCCTATTTTGTACCCGCACTTCTATTTGATTCCACTAGAGGATATTGCTGTAATTGGTGAAACGTGTTTATACACAGTGTAGGTACATGGCAGGTTTGACATCTCTGGTTTTATCTTGGACTGTAGCCTTGTGTGAACCCAGAGGCGTCACAGTTTCCTCCGGCTCTCATCGATCATCATGGTCAAGACCTTGGCTCCTCATCAGGATAAGCCCAAGGCACAACCCTTTGGCCGACTCCCACAATCGTCTCTCGACCATAGGGGAAAATCTAGTCGACTCTCAAGAGCCTAGGTGGTTCGACTCCTCAGTCGGATTCCAAAGCCCTTGGCTATTTGTTAAGGTAAGCCCAATGCATAACATATGGTTCGATTCCTCTGGCTCTCATCAAACATCATGGTCAATACCTTGGTTCTTTTTAAGGATAAGCCCAAGGCACAACTCTATGGTCAACTCCCAGAGTCACCTCTCGACCATACGAGGATTATGAAGACTTAGGTCCAGCATGAGGCCTAACCTCAGAGTTATCATTATGCCATTAAGATATTGGTATCATTATGAGTAAACCCAAGGCATGGAGTTCAATTGTTCGGTCATCTTCGCCAAAACGACTCAAAGCACTTCAACGTTTCAATCTTCGTTGACCAAGACCCGAGCATCTTGCCCACAGTAGGCGTAATATGAGCCAGTTGTCAAGCCAACTCATAACATTCGGGTTGACACAACACAGCCAGCTCAAGAATTGTCACTTAATTCGCTCAATTAGAGCAATGCTACAAAGTAATCAATAGCCCTAACTTCAGCCCAGAGCTTTATTCATTTCACTTGGTCTCAACTAAAGCCGACTCCAAGCGAAAGGGGCCAACTGTTATGGGGTACAACTGTGTTCAGATATATGATCTGATAACATCTTGACCGATGAGAGAGATAGCCAGAGATCAGCTAGCAGTCTGACTCAGCCGACCAGACGAGTTGATATTCATCAATGTCGACTCGAAAGGCGGTATCAATCGGCCCTTTCGCAGCAGGCAACTCGCCAAGAGCCTAGTAGACTCAACGAGTTGTCACTCCTCTCAACGGCTCGACTCTCTTCATGAGTCCCATCATGAGGGACATTGCTTCTTAGCGAAGCTAGAAGATAACTTTGCCAAAGTTTATCCATCCTGACAACAAGTCATATTATGTCTACTCAAAGACCATGCTTCATCACGCCTCTTATCAGCCCACGTCCCATCGATCGCTCTTCAAATCGAGACCGAAGTGATCTTCCTCCTGTCACTAGCCGACACATGTAGAACAAAGGATGACTCACCTTCCAGCTCACACTTTGTCACCAGTATTTGCATAGCCGAAGTGACCAGTCTGTCATTAGCATCATCTTTATATGTAGATGCTATTCGTCATAGCCAAAGGTTTGCAATCTAAACTCTCTTTCTGACCTAAATCTCAGAGATCATTATCTCTAATACACATAGCATAAGAACACACAGTGCTATTACTCCACTCAAGCTCAAGTTCATCAACTGACTTGATCGTTGGAGGTACCACGGGGGAATCATCACCCCGCCCTCTCACGACTTCTTCTGTACAGATTGCAAACTCTAACTCAATGGCCAAACATAAAGTCGAAGAAGGGAACGGGTTCTCCGTCATCCTTTATCACCCCGCAACAATCCTCTTCTGGATTAATAGTCTGTTTGATATATATATATATATATATATATATATTGTAGGCTATCTAAAAATTACTGCAGATAGCTGATCCCCATTAAACACCAATGATGGAAGTTACAATCTGATGACTTTCGCATTAACAACTCGATAATGAATGTTACAATCAAATGACTTTTATATCAATAAGTAAAAAACTACAATTAGAAGGTTTTCATGTGGATCGAGAAAGGTTACAATTCGGCGACCTTCACGGTAACTGATGAAAGCTCTGATTTATCAGTCTTCATAATCAACAGCGAGCGTTACAATCTGACGGCTCTCATATTTCAAGGAGCTAGAGCAAAGATTACAGAATGACAATCTTTGTAACACTCTGACAAAAGATATTACAAGTCAACGATCTCTTCAGTCCAAGATGCATAGCTCATCTTTGTATCCCAGAAATAAAATGCAAGTGACCTCGTTCTAGAGTCAAAGCAATGCAAACGCAGCTTCAATCCAGCTACAAATGTAGCTCCTAAAATGTCGCCAACATAACTTCCATCTGCTGCCAAACGCAACTCCTAAATGCTGCTAACGCAGCTTCCATCTGCTGTCAAATACAGCTCTTAAATGCTGCAAACACAGCTTCTAACTGCTGCCAACGCAGTTTCCATCTGCTGCCCAACGCAGCTTCCAAAAGCCGCTAGCACAGCTTGCAAACACTGCGTTCAAACGCAGATTTTGTTCTAGAATGCAGTCTCGGTGTTTTACTAATTCAAACGAGCTGAACGGTTGCAAAACCGTTTTCCCCACGATATGAGGGATTTTTTTCCCACTTTGGAGCGGATTAAAGGGACGGTTACACCCCTTAATCCCCCTATAAATCTTAACAAACTCAACTGAGTTGGGGGCTAGATTTTTGGTCATTTGAAAATCTTTGGAGATCGGCATTTTGGAGGGGAGAGATCTTAGATAATCCTTCAGCAACCGAAATTGTGAAGCTTTAGCACTTAGCTTATTAACCAATTTTGGTTTAAATTAACTCTTTTACAGAGTTTCAAACTCGCTCTAAGTTATTAAACTCGTTTAGAGTTCTGTTTAAACTTGCCACGCAAGTTCTTCAAGACATCAAATACAAAAGGATTCAACCGTGTTCCACAAGGTGAAACGTCAGAACGTCAACGAGAAGTAAACTCGACACGAGTTTCGAGGGAATCATCTCATCGACACCAAAAAGAACCTAGATTAAACCACTACTACATAAAGAGGCATCCTAGATGGAAAATTCCGTCTAGGATACCCAGAATTCCATCTAGGATGCGTATTCTAGACGGAATTCCGTCTAGAATTCGGGTCTAGTATGTTTCCGTCTAGAATGTAGTATTCTAGACGGAAATTCCGTCTAGAATACATCCTAGACGGATTATTCTAGACGGAATTCAAAACCGTCTAGAATACATCCTAGACGGATTATTCTAGACGGAATTTTCCGTCTAGAATACTTCATCCTAGACGGAAAAAATTTCCGTCTAGGATGGGTATCCTAGACGAAAATTTCCGTCTAGAATACTCATTCTAAACAGAATTTCCATCTAGAATGTTTTTTAAATTTTTTTTCAAAAAACCAAGCATCCTAGACTGAATTTGAGCATCCTAGACGGAATTTCCGTCTAGGATGCTATGCTACAGTAGTTTTTTTTTTTTTTTGCAGAATCTATTCTGAGTGCATGTACACAATATTTATCAACAACAAATTATATTCATAGCCAACACAATCAAATTATATTCCAATATCAAATCCAATTATATTCAAATAATACATTCACTAGAATAGTAGAGAGATACATAAATTGTTTACAAACTTTTACATAAATTATTTACAAGAGGTTCTGTATGCTCCATCGCACAACATTACACACAATTCCTCCATCAACCCGATCTCTACATTGTTGTTTATATGCAAATTAAAACTGATGCAACCAATAAGTATCTTACTTCCCAATGCCTATAAAAGTTCAAGACAAAGGTGATACATATGACAAATTTTCACTACAGAGAAGCACATTCATCTTCAACGTATTTCAGAGTGCCCAAAAATGCACAAAGAAGATAACAAGCGAAATCAACCAAGACACCACTGCCTAAAATGGTTGAATGAAAGAAGAACAGAGCAATAATCTTCTGCATCTTATGATAATACTTCAATGAATAATCGGGATATAGATGTATATTCACAATTGCAAAAGAATTATCAAGCATAGTAAAGAAATTAGTTTCCAATGTTAACCGGCACATAATAACCTAATTAGTTTCCACATCCTCTGATATGGGTACGATTAAACGTAGTAAGTCATTATTTTGTGGAGCTAAGCTTACAAGATCACTTGAAGAATTCATAAAGAAAGAACAAGCTCGAGGTGAAAATTGCTTGGATACTTGATAAAATTGGTACACTAACTATGTTCATTCAACTTGCTTAAATACGTAAAAAGTATCAATTGAAAATATTACTGTAATTACTTGTGAAATTAAAGCCTAATCAATTTAGAGAGTAATACTCCTGCAACTAGTCTCTGATTCTCTAAGCCCTCAAAATTTAATTGAAACTGTAGCCTCTAAACAATTAAAGATTCGCCTTAAAGCAAAATAACAGTAAATTAAAGCACACCAATCGTTTTCTCAGGGCATATTCATGAAGATACTCTGATCCCTAATAAAAACATTAACTTGTCCATAAGATGCAATTTCGCACTCAAATTAAAACACCAACCTTACTAAAGAGAAAGGGATCGGCCACGAAATTCGCAATCAATATAAGCTTTAAAAAAGGCATTTGCTTTATTATGATCGTCAAATACAAGTTTCAATATTAAATCATTAAGCATGGTGACAATGCATGCATGCAACAAATTTAAAATATAAATAGGTGTCCTCAAGATGAATTTGGTTTATGCACACATGAAAACCAATGGAGAATATTTACCTTACTCAGGTTTGTGCTTTTCTCATCCTTTTCAGAGCATAGCACCAACGAACTGAGATTAGCAATTTTCTTTGCTTGCTCTGCTAGCCTCCTCTCACGATGAGCTCTGTCTTTCTTTTCCTCTTCCAACTCCAGAGCTATTCTCTCTTTCTCTAGCTCACTCTAGAATTACCTCAACTTAGTAAGAAGATGCTACAAAATTAAGATGGGAACAACCAAATTAGAACAAGGCAGGCTATCACTGACCTTCAATAGTGTGTTTCGAAGGTTCAAGATTTCTTCCTCGAAGTGCTCTGAATGAGAGGTCTAGGCACAAAACCATAGAAAACAATTGATGCTCTTAGTGAATAATAATAAGCACATTCTGGAACAACAAAAGGTCATCATTCAACAAACTTCCCAAGGTTCGCCAAATCCAAGCTCATAAAACAGATCAATCCTACCACATGCAACACTACAAAGGTTTAAAGCATTTATTACTAAGAACTTGTAGCCTTCATACGGATGGATTTTGCTCTTCAGAATAACTTCCACTCATCTTTTTTGTTAGAACCTTTGATAGCAGACTATTACCTCCCTCCAGTGATCTAACAAGCTACAATATGACGCTACAAAAAAGATGAGTGGTAAATTTTCAACCAGTAACAAACAATGATCCAAATTCGTATGGATGTCCATTTCCAGAAAAACTAAGACCATATCAAAGTTAGTGTAAATATATAGCAAAAAATATTGAATAGACTTAGGATTTTAAGTTTAACTGATCATAACACGGATTAAAAGTTGAGGTGTCTCTAACACTAGATTTGCAATCTTATCTGCTATCTCTTGATCTAAATTGCAGCTTAGATGTTCAAATTTTCAAAATCATAGCTATCAAATTCAAGCATTCATTCGCAACCCAAAAAAATTCACCAAAGAAAAGAAACATTACCTAGCTGGTCCAGTTCAAAAACTAAAGGCTCCACCCCAGTCCTCCTGAACAGCGATTTCACCTCCATTGAGTAACTGTCAAATTCGCAGGCCGCCGCAGCACTTCACTGGTGGAACGGCAAGGAGCAGTTGCAGGAAGCTCGGGCTGTTGATGGCTTGATGATGGATGCTGCGGCCGAGGTCTTTCAAAAGTTCGTAGCTTTGAAGTTAACATTTTGTAAAACTTGGTTGAATCGACTCATACAGAGAGAATTTAGGCAAAATTAGGAGTACATTCTGGGAAAAGAACTTCCATGGAAAGAACCAAAATAAAACGTTTCAATAAGAATTCTTCCGTAGATAGAATTGGGAATTGAATTAGGGTTAGGGTTTTGATTGCGGTTTACCTTGATGAGAGAGGAATCGAATCGGGAGGGAGGGGATGGGAGCGATGGCCTTGGATGCTAATCTCTACTTGGGGGCAAAGTTGAGGGCGGAAGGAGTGGAGGGTGCGGACGATGGGAAGGGGTAGGACTCTTGAGTGGCGGAGGGAGAGGTGTAGGAGTCCGGGAGGGTGGTTCGGTGATGAAGCGGGAAGGTGGTGGAGAAAGGCCGTGGAGGGAGAGGGAGTAGAGGGGAGGGCGGGTGTCGGGGTGACGTGGAGTAGGGAGGAAGGAGAGGAGGGAGGGGGAGGGGAGAAGAGGTATGGAGTTGAGGATTTTTTTTTTTTGGGGGGGGGTTTCGATTTTGGGTATGAAAATTTCGATTTTGGGGGAATGGAGTGCACGGGGGGTTTTGACCGGTTAATTTTTTTTTTAAATGGGCATATATCTTTAAACGGAAATTTCGTTAGGATTAACATTTCTATCTAGGATATGCAGGATTTTTTAAAAATAAAAATAAAAAAAAACTTGTCTAGGATAGCTATTCTAGACGAAAATTTCGCGTCTCAGTAATGCATTATCCTAGACGGAAATTTTCCGTCTAGTTTCCTACATTCTAATGACGGAAAAAATCTTGCGTTAGAATATTTCGTCTAGGATACGTGAATTTTACTAGTGAACAACAGGGATGATCTTCAGTCGACCATTTCTTTGTTTTGTAAATCGGAGAAAGCGATCGAGAAATATTGTAATTTCTTTTTTCTAAGGCAGTTAGAGAGAAGATTTGTATCGAAAGAATTGTAATTACTTCTTTTTCTGAGTCTGTTTAGAGAATATATAACTTAATTGTCACTTGTCTTCTTGAATATTTCCCATCTCACACACACAACACACCCACACACCACACACCCGACAAACACACACACAACACAGACACCACAACACATATCTATATATTATATATATATATATATATATATATATATATATATATATGAAGGTAGAACCGTATATTTTATAATGATATTGAATTTCTATGAATAATAATTTCTTAGTGATATTATATATATATATTTTATAATATATATAGTATATATATATATATATATTTACTTTATATATATATATATATATATATATATATTATATATATATATATATATATATATATGAGTATATATATATATATATATATTATATATAATGATATCTATATACTATTAATATATATATATATATCTATATTAGTATACGTTATGTATATATAGATTATATATAGTATATATATATATATCATATATGACTAGTATATAGCTACTGAGGAATGTGATTATCAGTGTACGAGAACTCATCAAGTGTGTTTAAGTGAGATAATTTGAGTAGTTCGAGCATCATGTGGTGATCAGATCAAACCTGGCAAAGTTCATCTGATCGGTCGACCGCAGTGGACGCGGCGGTCGACCGCACCTCGTTCTCGCACTCAGGAAACTCGTTTCCTGCTGTGCGGTCGACCGCACTGGGCGCGGCGGTCGACCGCCCAGCAGGCAGAGAGTTTGCTGGGTTTTGGGCCTTAACGGGTTTCGGGTCGGGTTTGGGGATTAGTATATATTCTAATTTATCCAAGAGAACCCATTTTCATCTGAAATCAGAACCCTAGCCCCCCTCTCTCCCCTCAAACCCTAGTTTCTCACTCTTTGGTGTTTTGGAGGAGCTTTGAAGGGTTTTTCAGCGGATTTTTGGTGGTTTCAGCGAGAGGGATCATCTTCCTCCAGATCTAGGGCTGTTTTCGTCGCGTAGGCGAGTAACATCTCGCCCAACTTTCAGCTTTTTGTTTCTTATGCTTAGATTGAAATTTTAATAAGGTTTTTAATTGAGCAAGTCGGTATTTTGAGTAGATAAAGTAGATCTTATGGCATGAGGTGCAAAACACATCAGTATATTTAGTCTGTAAAAAGCTTCACTAACGGAGTTTAATTAATTAGATCCTTGATCTGAAACGTTCTTTTATGAAGGTTAAACTTAATTTATTATGTTTAACGAACTTTAAATCATGTTGATTTAAGGTTTGGGATTTTTGGTAATGAGGTTTTAACTATTTAAACTTGTTCTTTACTGCAATGCATTACTATTGAATTGATAAAATTAGTTGGTTTATAGAAACCTCAAAATTTTATATGAGTTTTTCGAAGCTGACAGAAACCCAGGCTGGGGTTCTGTCCGATCAGCGGTCCGACCGCAGCGGACTCAGCGGTCGACCGTCGCGAGTTTTTGCCAGCAGAATCGCTTCTGCACTTTGAGCGGTCGACCGGCATGACCACAGCGGTCGACCGCCGCTCAGCTTTTGAGCCCAGTACTTCTCGGATCTGCAAGCGGTCGACCGGAGTGGGCTCTATGGCCGACCGCCGCACAGATTATGGTGCCCTGTTTGTTTTTGTCGAACTTTCCACTCGTTCGAGTGTTTG